GTTATACATGAATCTGAGCTCATACGAATAGATTACAAACTGTACATGGAATGTGACTTGCATAATCGTATGGAAAACGACTGAGAATCTTAGATGAGTGTAAACTCAACTACACGAGTGTCAACTCAACTACACAACTGACGGCGACTCAGCATGTAAACTACGCCAACGTAAATCAATTAAATTGATAAGGCTACCAAAATAAGCCTAAACATAACAAAAGTCTTCTCAAGTAATTCTCTAGTAACTCCTCAAACGTTACCTACCTCGTTGGCAGCATAAACGATACTTGGGCAGCGAAAAAGACGAAAACTAGATGCAGTGAAACGAGCGTTTCACTTCCAGTGAAAGCGAAAAATGGCGTCTGCCCCAATCCTCGTACAGAGCGCGCACAACACCAAAAACTGCCGTGAGATAAATAAATGAGTGGGAGCACTAAAAGAATCAGGAACAAGTCTAAACAACAAAACTACAGTACCTATTAGTATAACCTGTAGTAAAATTCGGAAGAAGACGTCTTTCACGTGTACATAGCACGCCGACAAGTGAACGAGGCTAAACAAAGCGCGGGAACGCAGCAAAGTTTCGGTTGCTCGGGCAACGGCAGCCACACTCCCACCCAAATCATCCAAGATGATTTCTAAAAAGAGGAGGTATTCGGAATAAACAAATATCGCCTTATCAATGTAAAACATGTGAACGATCAAGGTCAACTACTGTGTCTACTCAGTAGAAGCAGTAACATCATTTCATTCCTTCATGACAGGAAATGAGAAGAATCAGCTTATGAATTGGACGGTCTAAAAACGTTCTATTGTAAATTGGCTTACCTGTTTTATCTAAGTTCGGAGTGGCCATTAGTAGCTTTACCTTTCTCACAAGACCATCACTTTAGCCAATCTCCAATCAGAGCGAAAGATTTTCTCGTCCTTTAGCATAACTATATCACCAACTCTGATATTTTCTTTGGTACCTTGCCAGGTTTTCCTTGACTGAAGATTGTACAAATATTCTTTTTCCTACCTTGTCCAGAACAGATTGGCCAGATATTGGACTCTCCGCCACCTCTTTCTCGCATATTTATCTTCCCTCACAAAATCTCCAGGAGGTGGAGGGGTGACAATTCCAGACTTCATTGTGAGTATATTGTTTGGTGATAGAGGAAGGGGCCCGTTAGGGTCTTCCAAATCATCCACCATCAGTGGTCTGCTGTTGATTATGGCCATTGTCTCGTACAGGAATGTACGCAAAGTTGATGTGTTCAGCTGGGTTCCATTCTGGATCAGGATTCCATCTAAGACACTTCTGATAGTCCGGATCTGCCTCTCCCATACTCCGCCCACGTGGCTTGATGAAAGAGTGTTAAATAAGAACTCACAATTTTGGGAGAGAAGTTTTCTTGCGATACTATCAATGTTTAACTTGTTAAGATTCTCCTTCAGTTCATGACTCGCACCAACAAAGTTGGTTCCTTGGTCACAGCGAATCATGAGGACCTTTCCTCGAATGGCAATAAGGCATCTCAATGCATTGATGAACGAATCCATAGACATATCATCTAAGACCTCAATATGAACAGCTCTTGATGCGAGGCACGTGAAGATTAACCCATACCTCTTCAGCTCCTTTCGTCCTTCTTTGATCATAAATGGCCCAAAACAGTCCAGTCCACAGTGGGTAAATGGTGGAGAGGGTTCTGTCCTGTCTTCTGGGAGGTTTGCCATTTTTTGTGACACTCTTCTTCCTCTCAGTTTTTTGCACGTAACACAGTTTTGGATCAGGGACGACACCGTCGAACGACACCCAACAATCCAGTATCCATGATTGCGAATCTCGTTGTTTGTCATGCCTCGACCTTGATGACCTATGCGGTCATGATAATGACTAGCAACCAACATTGAGAAATGGTTTCTCTTTGGCAACAAAATTGGATGCTTCACTCCATATAAGAAGGCTGACCTTTTCAATCTGCCTCCCACCAGTAGCAAACCATTCTCATCGAGAAAGGGATCCAGGTTCTTTAGAGGATCGTCTCTACGACTAGAAGTGGATCTCTTCTGGAGATTCTGTATACTGTCTTTGAATGTTTCTTGCTGTATAACTCTGATAAGGTTTGTCTCTGCTAAGTTTCTAACCTGTGTTTTGGAGAATAACTTTCCCCGTTTCTTGAGTGAACATTCAACAATGACTGCCACTGCTGTCACTGCCTTTGAATAGCTAGAAAATCTGCTCATCCTCTCTGTGAAGCTAGTGAACTTCATTCTCTGTACAATATGTACAACTGTCGGTTTAACCTCTACATCATCTGGTGGGATTTGCAAGTCAATGTCTGCAGTCTGAGGTGAAGCCTCTGTCTCCCACAAAAACTTAGGGCCTGTAAGCCAGTTGGATTTGGCGATTTCATCAGCTGTTAGACAACGTGTGGCATGATCTGCAGGGTTATCAGTGGTTGGAACATATTTCCACTGTGCTGGCTGGGAAACTTCTCTAATTCGTTGAACCCTGTTCGCATCGAACATCTTGAGTCTCTTCGTATCATTCTTTATATATCCCAAGACTACCTTGGAATCCGTCTAAAAATGATGTGACATGTCTTTATAGCCCATTTCTGTCTCGAGAACCCTAGAAACCTTTGCTGAAATTGTTGCAGCTTGTAATTCCAGTCTAGGTATAGTTACAGGCTTCAATGGGGCAACTCTGGCCTTCGACATGACTAAGGCACAGTGTACCCTTTCATCTGTGGTCTTCAGACGCACATATGAACATTGTCCATAACCAGAAAATGACGCGTCAGAAAAGTGGTGAAGTTGTACTGAGACTGCTTGACCCAAACCATCTGGAAGGAAACATCGCAGAATTTTGATCTCACTCAGTTTCGGCTTTCCAGCATTCCCAATCTGGACGAAGATCATCTGGCAATGGGTCATCCCAATCTGCTCTGTCCTGGCACATTCTTTGGAGTATCATCTTCCCAACTAAGACTAAGGGCGAAATAAGACCTAAGAAGTCGTAAATTGAGCACTGTTGCTAGAATCCCACGACGAGTCAAGGGGTGATCCTTTAATGTCAACTTAAAACAAAAGGTATCTGATTCGATGCACCACTGTATACTAAAACTTCTCTGGCGAAAAACTCTTCTGACTGGGTTCAAAGTCAGTCTGTGTTATAGTCGCTCTTTCGGACTCTGGAAGACTTAACATTACCTTCGAATTATTACAACTTATTTTGTGTAGCCGCAAGTTACCCTTTTCACAGATCTCAACAGCATTGTGAATGAGATCCTTCATAGCTTCTACACTTCAACCCATCATCAACATAGAAGTTGTTTTTCAAGAATTCTGAAGCATTCTCTCCAAGGTGCTTGTAGTCCTTGGCAAGTTGTTTTAAGCCGAAGTTCGCACATGCTGGCGATGAAACAGCTCCAAACAAATGGACTTTCATTCTAAAATCAACTGGGGGCTGTGTGAAGTCTTCATCTTCCCACCACAAAAACCTGAGGAAGTCTTGGTGTTCGGGCTTCACACGAAACTGATGGAACATTTTCTCCACATCACATGTCAAGGCAATTGGGTGTTCATGGAACCTGCAGAGTACTCCAATTAAGGGGTTGATCAAGTCTGGACCTGACAAAAGGTGGTCATTCAAGCTTGAACCCTGGTAACGAGTGCTACAATCAAAGACAACTCTTACTTTTTTCGGTTTTCTGGGATGTATACTCCATGATGAGGTATATACCATGGTGTTGATGTTAGTGGCTCATCATGTGGGACCATTACTGCATCACCTCTCTTTAGTAT